CACACCAGCTCCCGACCCCTAGTATCGTTTATCTTCTGTCGATCTTCATGAACAAACTTCTTTCTGAAGCGTTGGAACTCTTAGCGTCTCATTCCACAATTTTAGTTACTTTGAAGGCTAATTAGCAAAGGTGGGTTTGGTGTTTGAACAATAATCTTGTGTGTTTTGATCTATAGTTTAATATTAATATTTATTGCTAGATTGACAAATGTAATTTTAGATGAATCTATGAATCAAATCAAAGTTTTGAAGAAAAATGGGATTGTCGGACGTTGACCTTTGTTGGAGCTCTAGGCTAGCACTAGGCCAGCTGCAACTAAGCAGTCGTCAGTATTTTAATTGTAACTTTCTCTCCCGACATTGGATTGAGGCGACTCAAAGTACATTGGAAAGATAACTCGAAGGGATACAATTATTCTTCAAGAGGCATTTTCCAAATTCGAAGTCTTCTATGTGAAAAAGACTACGGGAATAAAGTATAACTTGAGTGGCTCTTTGACACCCTTTAATTTTCTAATTACATTTCCTTGATCATATGTTATCTTTTTGGACATCTTTGACATCTTGGACTCCTTCAAAACTTATACTATCAATCCCTAATTTTTTTGACTTTGATTATAACTTAGTAAACTCCTAATATAATTCAACTAGGACTTGATTTTAATTTAGGAAATTGCCAACTACTATTTGAACTTAACAGGTAGGATTAGAATGACATGTACTGTGAGAAAGCTTTCCATATTTAACTACCAAAATTATTCCTACCCCAAAAGAAAGAAGAAAAATCAATACTGAAATTCAAGTTTTCTTTCCCGCTTTCTAATAGCTACAATTTAAACTCAAATCACAACTCTATATTCACATTCTTGTAGCAAAGCTTGAGTAATTGGTTATCATGCAAATGCAGAGAGTGGTAAGCATAAGCATAANACAACTCTATATTCACATTCTTGTAGCAAAGCTTGAGTAATTGGTTATCATGCAAATGCAGAGAGTGGTAAGCATAAGCATAACAATCTTCTTTTAGTTTTGATATTCTATTGTTTTGTGTCCCATGTTTCATTAGTTGACACCCTTAAACAAGGGGATAGGCTAAATTCTTCTACATATCTAGTTTTTGTTAACAGAGTTTTCACTTTAGGATTTTATAGCCTCGAAAATACCAATAACAGTTATTTAGGAGTATGGTTCACGGATAATTCATATGGTCAAATATGGCCTGGCAATAAAGACATATCTATTACTGATAATTCTAGTATTCTCACAAAAAGTAGCACCAGGAAATGTATTAACAATAGTAGCGGAGGAGCTCCTATTGAGCTGTATGCAAATGAAAATGGCATGACTATAACGGCCACTATGTTGAATTCGGGCAATTTTTTAGTGAAAAAGATAAATATAAATGGTTATGGGATTAGAGTTTTGTGGCAAAACTTTGATTATCCCACTGACACCATTCTTTCTGTTGAGGTTGTCCCATATTGGTTGTGGATGAGATTGGTATTCAATTTATTAGTGTGAGGGAAAGTCTCACACCTTGAACTAGCTTTGGGGGTGAGAGAGGCCCATTACCACCCAAAACTGGTATTAGAGCCTGATTTATCAACAAGTCTTCGGCCCAATAGTCACGGAGATAATGGTTTGTGTGAGTTGGAGACGGTTTTGGTCTCCTATAGGGCTAGATCTGTGAGGAAAAGATTGTTGCGGTTGTCCCACATCGGTTGTGAATGGAGTTGGTATTTAGTTTATAAGTGTGAGGAAAAGCATCACCTCTTGAGCTAGCTTATGGAGTGAGAGAGGCCCAATACCACTCAATTGTCGAAGAAGC